CCTAAGAGCGATGGCCTCCAACCTAAGAGCGATGGCCTCCAACCTAACAGCGACGGCTTCCCATAGTCAGGCCCAAACTCAAAACTCCAACCCTCTTATGTGCAGCCAGTGGCAGCCAGCTGTCAGCAGCGTGAGGTGAGAGCGGAGAGCAGCTGGTAGCGACGACAACACTAGTCACTAGCAATAGCGATAGTAGCAGCAGCAGCAGCAACAACAACAAAGACAACAACGACAAGAAGGACAACGACGACCACGACGCCAACCACGACAACGACAACGCGAAAACAAACTTGTGTGATCTTGCATCTATTCCTGTGTAAGGATGGGTGAATCGTTGCAGAAGCAAAACCACAGTTGTGGTTAGCAAGGACGCTACTAGGGGCTCCTGGTCTTACTACTAGGAGCAAGAAACTATATACTAGGAACAAAGGGCGTCGCTACTAAGAGCAAAGACACTTCTAGGTTGGAGGCTTGTTTGGAACAAGTTAGTGATTCAACCACCTGTCGGCACACAACACATGGAAACCTCGCACGGACACCAAACGAAAATGTCGGGAGACCCCACACTCGAACTGATGAAACGGTATCACGGCACGGCTGCAAATACGCTACTAGTAGAGTCCTTGCTAAGCACAACTGATGTCAGCCAAGATGCAGAAATCCTGTCTGTGGCGCGCAATCCTGCACCAGCCATTGATACTGCCAACTGGACGTGTCATTCGCGACGATGAAAATCTGTGCCAAGAGGACGGCAAAGGCGAAGACAATGCCAGAGACAAGCACCCTCAGCCGAGGGGTGTGGCGATTTCGCAAGCTCCGCTTTTCTTCGAGCACTGTGCATGAGCAATATCTCACATGTGACCGGTGCATAAAACATCATAAAACGTACTTTCTGGAATGAATCTCGCCAAGTCTGGCAACAAAACATACAAAACGATCTTCCCTTCAAACACCTGGGTGCCTTGGGGTCGCTTTCTATTTTAGACATGCCAACCGTGAAGAAAGGGCGTCTTCTTGTCGGTCCCCATTGGCTATATTGGCTGTTGCTGCCCCATGTTCAGCCGGATCGGACCTGTGTCGCTTCACCCCTCATGCAGCTTAGGAGCCACCAGAGCTGTTGGAAAAGGCTCAGTTTCGCAGTCTGGCCCTGCGCTTCAAGGGTCTCCATGAGGTTTGATAAGGCGGCAAAGATCCAATAGAAAATCCCTCCATTCATCAGAGGCCTCCGCTTGGGCAAAGGATCCGGTGATCCGGTGAAGCAAGGGAACGGGAGTATCAGCGGATGAAAACCCTAAAAGCCTCAACGATTTTTGCCGTCTCTTGACGGCCCCGCGACCCCGCGACCCACCCAGGTCCAAGATGTTCCTTTGGGTTTCATCAATGGTTCATTCCCCAAAAGGTGTCACAATTGAATTGGATCCGATAGTGAACCCATCTTCTAATTGGATCCCCTGAATGTTCGACGCCTCGCTCCCTGAGTCTCGTTCGTCTTAGTCTAAAGACCCTTGCTGTTGGTCGAATCAGGTCCAACGCGGCGGCACAAATATGCACCAATCAAAGCTAGTTTCAGGGTCTCCTCTTGTTCTTTCTTTGTTTCAGCCCGCTCCCCCCCTCCCCTGGAGGCAGGATAGCTCACGCTTCTATTCATTTGGTTCCTAGAATTTTAGGTAAACTTAACTTCCACATGATAAGTCACCTTGGTTTGAGCTTTAAACAAACAGCGTCCCGAATGATGATCGATTGGCCCACCAAAGACGTTTCAATGTGCCGAGGGACACGGGCAAAAGGCAAAGGATGACAAAAGCAACTGGCACAGTTTGCTGGTGCCTGTCAGCCAGCACAACTTCTCGAACCACATTCAGGGCAATATACACCAGCGACAGTGATACCATTCTGCAAATCGTTCCACCATCGAGAACAGGCTTTGTAACTCCCCATCCCAAGCAGGCTGATAATACCAGCATATATGAGAGCGTGCTCCTTGAGACTGACAGGAAAATGGCGATGAAAAAGATGGCTTTGTTGTCAACTCCTGATTCATTCCAGGTGAAGAGATGGATAAACCAGCCAATGCTTTCTAGAATACTCAGAAGGGCCAAAGCCCCTATTATGAGGTGGATGTTGAAGAGCACCTTCCACCATCTGACACATAATAGGGCCCAAAGAAGGAAAACCACCACTGTACAGGCCGTCATAATCGCATAGAAGGGCATCTTGCCGTACTCATTGGCCGGCAAGTAGCCGTGGGAATTCTTTACGATGACCTCCCCACTGACAGTGGCCGTATCGAAGTTCCCACAATTGGAAAGTACTAAGAAGTAGACACCTGGCTTGTCCATGATCATCTTGGCATCTGGCTGCTTCTCCTTGAAGCGTATCTGGTGGCCAAAGGCGCCATTCACCCCGTCATTTTTGCCATTGCCAATAATCAAATGGTTCACCTTATCACTCAAGCCTTGCACCACATCCTCGTTCGTGGCACACATTCTGTTTACATCAAGAACGCTCCATAGGTCGTCATATCTGATCAAGTGCAATTCAAGCCCAAGGTAGCCTTGAAGCTTCTCATCGGTCTGCTCTTCACTGGTGGAAGTGGCCATTAGGTTCTTAAACTTCACGAAGGGTGGGCTGTGAGTCTTGTTGGGCGTCCTTCCCGGATCTGCAAGGAAGAATGCATTGATCAGGCTCAAGGATTTCCTCTCCGGCACCGGGTAGCCATCGAGCTTGAAGATTTGCGCTTCTGCACAGGTGAGGACCCAGAATCCCAGGACCCAGCGCGTCATCTTTGAAAGGCTGCGCACTGCGGAAGAAATTTGCCCATCATGGAGCAATCCACGAAAACATGCCAAATGGAGTTGACACCTTAGCCAAGTCCTATGTATAGGAGTGTATAGGTGTGTGAATCAACTCCACAACCGAGACTTGCCGACTGAAAAAGACTCCACACTGCCACACTTCGAGGATAACTCGCCTCTGGACCAAACGACAGCTGCCAACTCCTGGCGGGCGAGCCAACCCACGATCCTTCGAAGCCTCTTCGAAGCCTTGAAGAACGTTCCTGGATCTCCATCGTCGTTTACGACCCGTAGAAACACAGAGTCACTGCATGCGACAGTTGGAAAAGATCTCACCGGAGTCACTCAGCCGAGTCACCCTCAGCCGAGTCGCTAAGACGTGGAGCGGAACAGAGATCCCACCCGTGTACCGCGCGCGAGCAGCTCGCGCGCATGAAGGCGTGCCTCGAAACCTCGCCCCACGAAACAAAGGAGCTTGAGAGCTAAAGCTCTGGCAGGGCCACTTTCTTCATACACTGCGTCTTGTGAGAACATGGGCACAAGAGTTTCTCGTCGTTCAATTGGTTCGAAAGAAACAACTTACGAATCGACCCCGGACCGCCAAGTTGTGACGTTCGCGTGGTTCCGCGGCACTTTGTGACGAGCTTCGTTTTCGCCACCGAGCGGCATAGAGAGGGGAGCCGCAAGACAGCTACCGTTTCGATTGGCGACGAGGGCGTTTTGGGAGCAACTTGGACGTCGTGAGAGGGACGAGGTGACCGCGGAGAAACGATGATCCTGACCTGTGGTTTTGCGCTGAAACAGAGGGATGAGCGTCAAAACATCCGGCCTTTTGACCTGGGATGACCGGGAAAGAAGTGACCGTGTGCCGGGGCCAAGCCTGTCATCTACTGTTCTCCATTAAACACGGGAGAACTCCAAAAGCCCATTTGGGGAACAAAGGAGTCCTTTGGGGTCTGAAAATAGGTGAAGCAGTCTGTCTTCAAAATGATGCAATCTTGGCTGAAGTTTGATCAAATGAGGAAAAATGTTGACATCTAATGCAAACAACAAAAGGAAGAGGCTCTATTTCTGGCCAAATAACGAGCAATGCCCTTCAGATTCATTGCCAACATGGGTAGCAATGAACTGCAACGATCACACTCAAGACCACAACTGCGGACACCAAGATCCGGTTCCATGGTCCCGAGTTCAGTCTGTACAAGAGAGGCATCTGTCAAAAGGCCACGGCTCAATTGCATGACTAAAAGATGCTAGGAAGAGTTGCCATCGAAAGTCAACTCTCATTTCACGAGAGTCCTGCCCACAAGAAGGCAGAAAGTCAAGCTGAGACCAACTGGCGTCACGATAGAAGTGAACATGTCGCCACTCCCCATTGTGGGGTACTCCCTGCCGAGGGTGTATCCTAGCCAGGGTTGAGCAGTGACAATGGTTCATCTTGCAGCGACAATCAAAAATACTAAAATGCAGAACCTTGGTCAAACATCAACTTGACTCCATCAGAAGCCCTTGTGATTGAAAACGTTTCCATGATTCTGTATTACTGTATGATCATATTTGTAGAGAGTTAAACAGCCAACCACATGTCAAAAACTGTCAATCTCGCAGCTCCTTTTCCGGACTCCGAGTTCTCGACAGGACCCTGGGAAGCAAATGGCATTGGTGTGCCAGTACTTCGTGCACGGACACGGGCCATCAAGGTGCTGATGGAGTTCTGCTGTGCGAGCTGGCTCACCTGCTGACCAGGAGTCTGCATGATCGGAAACGAGAGGCAAAGTAAATCCACTGGACACTTTGACTATCTTTGGTTCTCAACTTGAGCAAAGATTCATGAAGATCGGGCAACTGCTTTCGTGGAATGTGCAAAGAAAGCGCGGCCTTCAACAAGTATGACAAGGCCATTCTGGAA